CCTTAGAAGATTCCCATGGCAAGATGCATTACGGTAGGTTTTTGAAGGGGTAACAGCTGCATGTTCCTACTTGCTAAGTGTTCTTGTTTCAGGAATCCGGCAGTCGTCTTTAGAAACTGTTTTACCGCGGTTAGAGAAGTCTCGTGTAATGATTGTACGGGGTAAACATAAAGGTCTAACGGCAACCATGGAAGAGAAGGACAAAAGGCGATGTCTGGTCGTCGCTCGGTTGCTGAGGTCTAACGAGGTGATTTTTGCGAAGTTTTTGAGCAGAGGTGATTGCTCTGATGGTTTTGGTGTCAGTTAGAAGCATTGTTCTTGCTAATCTTTCTGTACTGTTCGCTGCGGATGCTGAGGCATGTCAGGAGGGGAGGGGAATGGCGCGGCGCCAGCACGTTTCCCACCAATTCTTGTCGCTTCCCCGCTCCACCAACTGGTGAAGAAGGGGTTGGCTTAGCTCTGAACCCAGTCCCCTCGCAAGCCCCGGCATCCGCGGCGAACAGGGCTGTACCTACGGTGACGCCTATCCACCATGTCTGCCTCATTGGCGCACCCGTTCTTCCGATTTGTTAGGAAGCAGGGGCACACCTGTGAGAAGGCAAAAGCTTAGGGTATCTGCTCCTATTTGAATCTTTTTGAATGTGGCTTTGGATAATTTCTTTTTATTTACAGATTGTAACCGTGGATTTTGACGATGTCTGCCAGCATCAGTCGAGAGAAGACGATGACGATGATTACTGAGTTGGCTTGTACAAAAGTGCTACACACCCGCATAGTGCTGCAAACAGCGGAATTCTTAGCCGAATCTTAGGCGATACTGACGTGTTTTTGTGGACGTGAACCTCCTACTAACTTGTAAACAAACTGATCTTGATCTGATGTGATATAATTGCCATAAAGTTCTTAAGAACCGTTGTTTATATTTCCAAATCGCCTAGAGAGTTCTCAAGATGGAACTCTTGCAGCAAGAGTGGTGTGGTGGTAGGAAAACCCCCTCACTGCGTGCATGGTCCTGAGCTTAAAGCACACTATAATATAGGTCAGCCCGTTATAACGTAGGGAAGGAAAGTCCTGTCAGTGTTTTTTGGAAAGCTTACAGTTTTTGCTTCTCGTTGCTCGTCCATGACATAACATGTTATGCTTGTAGGACACTGTGGGAGCTGCCCCATAAGAACAGACGGTCACCGCCACCATTTGTGTCGCTCAGCTCCCGAAACGAGTGAAAATTGTTGGAGAAAAATGACCGAGACTAGCTTCGGGTCACCTCGTTCGTAGTACACGAGACCCCATACCTGCTATGAAGACCTACCAAATAATTGAGGAGCAAGGCTGGAGACCCAGCCCATATATTGCCTCCGACGTAGTCCCCTACGAACTGCTACTGCTCCGCCTCCTAAGCCTTCTCAGCTAAGAAAACTTTCAGCAATTTTAGAGGGGGGAGGGCGCTGATTTACTCTATTCGCAGCATTCTCAGTTCTGGGTAACGAGTATATTATTGACTAGTTCCCACTGACACTGAGTTAGAAAACAAAAAGAAGAAAAAAAAGGTTTGGTCACAACAGTCTCCATGTTCATTGCTATGCTATCATTCGTAGCAGTGCCGTCGCCTCATTGCTCACTGTGTTGAAATCCGAGCAGATCGTTGCGGTGGAGTGAAACGGTAACCTGAACGTTTGGAGTTTTCCCTTCGTTAGTAGCTTCTGTCGCGGTTGCAAACTAGTCAAGAACGGGTTCAAGTTGAACAGGATCGATAGCTTTCCTGAGTTTCGATATGCTTTCAGGCCTTTGATAACGACGATACTGTCGAAACGTCAGGCAAAATAAACACTTCCACCATAAAAACCTGTACGGCATAGTAAAGAAACATTAAGTCTATAAAAATGCAAGACTTTTCTTCCAACCTATATATTCTGCAAGGTGGGGGCTAAAAATGGGATGCGAATGATGCCAGGAAACGACAATGGAGGGAAAAAAAACTGGAAAATTGCCGCCAGTGCCGAAAAGACTCCTTGTCAAGCGGCTATTGTAACGCACAGGCCGAGCAATAGGCGAGATCAACCTAAAAAAGGTGTTGTGCCATATGGCTCAACATTGATACATAGTTGATTTGCTCAAAGACAAGATGCCTCTGCCGAAGCCCTTGGCAGGTCAGCGCAGTTCGGCGACGTGGGGGGGAGGCGTTTTGCCACTTCCCAACGACGTGTCGAGCCATCGAGAGAGCCTTCACGAGAGTTGATAGGTTTTATCTGGTGGCTGGGAGAGCTTGCTCCAGCTACGCAAGAGTTCAATTTCCTCTCCTGGAACACTTGTAACCGGAACTAAACGTGAGGCTGCGAAAGTGGCAAAATCCCCCCCCCCCTCACGTCGCCGAATAGTGGCGGCAGGTCTTCTGTTATTAGGGCGGGACGGTGCGGGACGCGGGGCCAGAGAGGATTGACGCCAGGAAGGCCTGCCCTCATTACTCGTTTTTATGTCGCGAAAATGATGTAGTCGCTTACTGCGAACCAAACTGCTTGCTCAGTGAGGAATAAGAGCATCGCATCTGATCGCGGAGCGTGCCTTTGAATATTAGATAGATTTCTTCCCGGCTAGGTCAGGGGTGCATTAGTGGACGAACGTTCGAGAGGGGACGTAATATGCCCATTTTCCCCACAGCGGCAAGATTTGCCCTGTTCGGAAAACCGCTGTGGTTGTCTGTGGATGTGAAGTTTGGCGCATCCCCAAAAAGGATTGATCAATGCTGGAAGCTCTGAGGCGCAGCGATGCTATAAAGTCAACTAATCCTTCTAAAATACATTTGATATTCCCCACTGCCGTAGGTTCTGATTTGATCTACGTAATGGCTCCCCTAAACGAGAGCTGTGACTTTTCGGCTTTGTTTAGCGATTTTTGTCTACTGCTAGGTTTTGATGTGGTTTAGTCAGCTAGCTGATCGTCTAACGTCTAGGAAAGGCTTTATCGTTCCACGAAGGTCCGGCAGAGTAAAATGTACTTATAAATAGAACTATTCGGTGAGGCCCAGTTCCAGTTTTGTGTGGGTGAGCGTGGGAG